GCATGGCAGTAGAGACCATCCCCCACCTCTCTATAACCCCCTTTCAGGTAGTTGTAGAGAGCCATGAGGACACCCCTGAACTGCCTCTTCTCAAGGCTAAACAAATCCAACTCTCTCAGCCATTCCTCATACAACACATTTTCTAGACCTTTCAAAAGGCTCATTGCCCTTTGCTGGACTCGTTTCAGTGTCTCAATGTCCTTTTTAAACTGAGAGGTCCAAAACTGAACACAGTACTCGAGGTGTGGCCTCACCAATGCCAAGTACAGGGGGACAGTTGCTTCCCCACCAACACTACTCTTGATAAAGGCCAAGATGCCATTGACCTTCTTGGCCACCTGCACACACTGGTGGCTCATATTGAGCCGCTGTCCACCACTCTGACAAACAACACTTAGGTCTGTAGGGCTACATGGGGTTGTTGTGTCCAAAGCACAGGCCCAGCACTTCACCTTATAGAACCTTATGCAATTGTCTTCAAGCCATTGATCAAGTCAGTCCAGGTCTCTCTGTAGAGTTTTCCTACCCTCAGCCAGACTGACACTCCCACCCAACTTAGTGTCATATGCAAATTTACAAAGGGTGCACTCAATCCCCATGTCCAGATCATCAATAAAGATATTAAAGAGGACCAGCCTCAATAGTGAGCCCTGGGGAACGCCACTGGTGACCAGTTACCAATTGGATTTAGTTCCATTAACCACAACTTTCTGGGCTCAGCCATCCAGACAGTTTTTTACCCAATGAAGAGACCACCCATCCAAGCCATGATACACAGCTTCAGCTTGGAGTTCATTCATAACTACCACTCACTCCATGCTTATATCAATATTTACTAGGAGATAATTCACTTGAAAACCTGGATGGATTACACTCTATCTCCTGGTAAGTCAATGAAAATTCTTTCTACAGGCAAATCTTCATTTCAGCAAAACCACAAAAGCATAAAGAGTCTTTTTGTCTTCTGGGAAGTTTGTGGTCTCTTTTGAGTTTACAGTTATGGAAGTGTTGATGATATAAATTATCTCCTCCCTGCCCCTCTGAAGACAAGATAATACTCTTATGGTGTTTATGTGTTTTTTCATTGTTACTATAATTGCTCTGGAGGCTTAGTCTGAAACGCGAGAACTTGTGAAGCTCTTTGAGAATAATGCTGGCTTGGAAAAGGAGTACCAGAGGTCACTTCACAAGGTTTTGAAACAATTTAATGTTCAAGAAGTCAAAAAGAGCTCTCTGACAAAGAGACAGCTCCTCTGCAGCAGATCAGAGGCAACTGTCTTTCTTCTCTAAACCCAGGACAATAGGGGTTGAGCTGTCCCTCTCTTCTAGAAAGCAACCAAAATACAAAAAGCACATGAAAATCCTAGTCTAATCTGAAACATGCAGAACTATGCTGTCAAATGAATTCTCTTTCCCCTGCAATTCTTAGGGCTGATTATGAAAATTAATATTGAAACCAAAAGAACTATATTCATACCACTAACTTTCTTAGAATCCTATTCAAATTCAGTTTTATTGAAGAAAGGAGCAGACTGTGTAGCCTATCTCAAAAGAAGTCAGTTTGACTTTACAAATGCAAAACAATTTCTAGACGTGAAGCCAGGGGGGAAAAAAAGGCTTGGGCTTTTCTGTTCTTTTTGCTGTTGTTTTTTTAAGCATCCAGATAGCAATTGCTTTTACCATCTAGATGTTTAGCTTAATTCTTTTTTGCATTGCCATTATCACTCCTTGTACAGATTTTCCTATTGAGAGACTTGTGGCTGCTCCATGGCAGAATGAGCACTGCTGGTGGTGATGCACAAAAGGGAATATAACTGAGCCAGTTCCACTTAACTGTGGTTCAGCCAGACTAACAAGACACAAAGTTGTATTTTTGTCCATAAAATGGGCACGTACAATGCCAACTCAACAAAGAAATCAGAGGAACAGGATTTTTTTGCTGCTGCTGTTACTTTTTGGTGACTCCTTTGGAGAACAAAAAGAGAGAGAAAAGCATAGAGAACACCAGGGAAATACTTTCCCAAAAGATAAACATTTCTTTTTGTCTTTAATAAAATCCCCATTTCTGAGGAGCTGGGATTGTTTAGCCTGTAGAAAAGAGGAGGCTGAGGAGACCTTCTCACTCTCTACCACTGCATGAAAGGATGATGAAGCCAAGTTGGGGTCAGTCTCTTGTCCCAAGAAGCATGTGATAGGACAAGAGGAAAGGGCCTCAAGTAGCACCAAAAGAGGCTTAAATTGAATATTAGGTAAAATATTTCATGTAGAGTGCAGTCAATCTTTGGAACAGGCTGCCCAGGCAAGTGTCTTTGTCACCATCCCTGCAGGTCTTTAAAAGATGTGTAGATGTGGCACTTAGGGACCTGGTTGAGTGGTGGACTTGGTAGTACTCAGTTAATTGTTGGAGTCAATGATCTTAAAGGTCTTTTCCAATCTAATAATTCTATGCTTCTATGGTGGTAAAAGGTGCCATTTATTAAGATATGGTCTGCCCTTTTTATGCTTTTGGTTCTAATCTGCAAGTTCCTGAATTTGCCCCCAGTCAAACATGATCTCTTTTATGTTCCGATACTAAAAATCTTTGCTGGTGGCTGTTACAGCAATGTCCTAAGGCAACAACTGGTGTACCTGCATGTGTAAGTAATCTGTGTTGCTGCATTAAGCATAATATAGCCAAGGCTGCCAGACATGGCCAATGTCCAATGCTTCATGAGAAATTGTGATGCTCAGTTGGCAATGCTGCTCTCCAGCCAGGCCTCAGTCCACACAGCCATTACTTAGGGACTAAGCTGACTGAATACCATACTCATATATGGTATTCACTGAAGATACAGAAAGAACATAGCTTATCAGTTCTATATCAGCTTAATAATATCTAAAGTTTAAATCCATCACATTCTGGAAGGAGGAACCAGGATTTAATTGCAAAATGGCAAGAAAAAAATTCTCCCTTCACTTTTCATTTCATTGAAGCCTGGGCATTGCAAGACTTTTAGAAAAGTGGTTCCTTGAATACTGCCAGCTCAGCAGGTAAACAGCTTTAGGTCCATGCAAGCAGTCTTTTCATCATATTAAAATATGCAAACAGTATTGACATAGTATTTCCTTTGGATGAATGTGATGAAAGCAAGAACTCCTGAGAAATAAGCTACAAATGTTATTTTGTAAATATCATCACTGCAGCAATAATGGCTCATCAATGCTTTCCCTGATCATTATGGCTCATCTCAGCAGCATCTTAAGGATTTGGGAAAATGCACAAAAAATTGTAAAGAAGGCCCAGGCAGAGCTCCCTGTCCTGCCCCTGTGCAAATATATTCCAGCGTGTCTAAATCTGCTTCCAACATCAGTTTTTTCACCATGGAGCACATATATTTCAGATTTTGCTGTGCCATTTTTGGCACCAGATTTCTGCAAAATAAATCATACTAAATGTCAAGTAGGTATAGTGCACCAAACTGTTCTTGAGTGAGTAAAAATTCTATCAGATTTAAGGTGAAATATCATCATTGCTGGATTTGTTCTGTCATGTTTACAAACCCTTTCTTGAAAAATTAGATATAGAAGACTTTCACTAGGAGGGCAGGAAACATCTTCTACATCCTTCTTGAAAAGATTACACTAAACACAGAAATACCCTTTTTATGTAGTAACATATAAAATGCACCTGAAATTGGGGAGACATAAGGAACAGTCTCCAAAGGACAGTCTGAAATCCAAGTTCAGAATTAGGCCTCGAATGGGACATCATCAAATATAAAAAAGTCACAATTCCTTCAACACCAAGTGAGAAACCATGTGCATCCAAGCTGTGCATCCAAACTGGCTTTCTAAGAGTGTATATATAAAAACGTAGACATGTATTAAAGAAAGCTGTGCATCCAAACTGGCTTTCTAATAGTGTATATATAAACACGTAGACATGTATTAAAGCTGTGTATAAGCAGTTAATCAAGTGGAGCTTAGTATTTTCACAGAAGCTAGTGCCTTTTTCAAACATGATTTTATACTACACCATGGACTGATTTTTTTTAAGACCAGTCTTATGCATTCAAAAACAAACCATTCTTTTTTGCCCCAGGCAGGAGCAGCAGTACTAAACCAATTTGTGCACATTTTTGACACGCAATGATCAAGAAATAACATTCCTGGTAAGACCTTATTGGTGTTAACAAGAACAAAAGAGTGACTTTTAGGTATCTTAAGAACAGATGCTTCTCTGACCTGCCATTCAACTGCACCCTCTTTAACTCACTGCATTTCTCCAATTTGTTAAAATAATTTTGAAAAAATTCAGTCCTCCACAACCCCTGCAGTCCTTCTCAGTATTGTATGTCCACCTATTCCTACTATTCACATTAACTAGAAGATAAACTATTAGAAATCACATTTCAAATAACAAGATATCAACATTGTGCTGGAGACGACAAAAGTATTAAACAATCACAAAAAGAATCACCACTTCACCCTGAATTCAGTATTTCATACTTCCCTGCAAATAAGGCCAAGACACAACATATTTAAAATCCAAAATGACACAATGAAGTGTTATGAGGTTTTGCAGAATCTTTACAGGAAACTTTTAATTGCTTAGAAAAAATATAATAATGAAATATAAGAGCTCTACTTTTAATTAAAATACCTGAAGATGACTAAGAAACAAGTCAGTTAACACTAAGTCTATAAATGAAAGATGTAACTGAGGTACATGAAAACTCCAAAGAACAACAATCTTGTAAACAGTAGGATCCAATTACAAAATCAATGTAGTTTCATTCAGCATTTCCTGTTTTTCATTGATGAAAATACACAAAAGAAAAACTGTATTGATCAGTAATAATGTTGGCATGTCCAACACTGAAATTCAGATAATTTTGTCATTCTCTTTCTTTAGCTTCTCAAATATTATTTTTCAAATCTCAGAGGAAACATGCCATCTCCTGTAAACCCAAATACCTTAGGAGTGAAAACTCCCAGTCCCAATATCAAAAGCTTATTACCTCGTTGCATTTACTTATTCGCCTCGCCACGATAAGCTGAATCATTCCCCGTTTGTTTCCTTCAGTGGACATGGACCTCCTTAAAGTTTCCATAGCATCTTGGTTTGTTTTGCCCAATAAAGATTCTCCATTAACTGCTATTAGTTGATCATTCACTCGAAGCCTGCCATCCTGGAAAAAGAAAAATTATAGATGGTTACATAAAGACACAAAATAGAAGCTTAGTCTGCTGGAGAGAGGAAACGAAACACAAAAGAAAAAATAATCAACTAACTATGCTTAGTCCTAAGAGTTTATGGCCAAATGAACACTGGAATAATAGCTTCCATTGCAGCCACTGTAGGAAATGTCTATTCCAATTATAGAGTTGCACTGCAAGCTATTATCATAACCTGTTTGCTCAAACAGCATACTAATTGAACTGTACCAGAGACAGCCCATTCCTTCCTGAGAACCTGTTAGGGCTGCTTAAATCCTGGGATGTGCAAACACGGGAGCAGAAATCTAAGTGTTACCTCTGAAGGCAAAACAGGAGAAAGCTAGTTATAGAGCAATCTCCTTCTTCTTCAATCTATGGTTATTTTCAATACAGTCTTATTATGGAAAACTGAGGAAGACCAAAGTACACAGATGTTCCCTCTTACCTTGGATGCTGCTCCACCATTAATAATGGACTTGACGAAGATTCCTAAATCGGCATGGTTTTCTTTTGACCGGTTACCTTTGACGCTCACACCAAGTCCAGCTGATCCAGAGTCATTCAGTGGAACTTCAAATGTCAGGAATTCCCTGGTGCCATCAGGTGTGAGGACAAGCTCCTCTTCTTCTGCTTTCTGTTGGGGAGATTAGCATGGGATTATAGAATAGCATTTCTCTTTGGGAATTCTCTTCCCTCTACAGCTATTAGCATTAAAAACCCTCTGCTTTTAAGTACAATGCCACAATATTTTCCATAGTAATTATGTGAAGAAATGTGCAGAAATATTGTATTTTCAATCACCTCCAGCTGACGCCTAAATTCAGAAATATCTTACATTTGTGTCTAAGTGCTTCTCTCTCTAGTGAAGTAATTGAATCACATGTCATTACTGAATCTGCCATCAATACCAGCTCACACATAAGCTGCTATTTCATTAGCTAAAAGAGAGCTGCATCAGAAATATTTTCTTACTTGCAAACCTACAGAATTTTTAAAATATCATCATCATCTATGGAGCTTTGCAATCATAGGGAGAAACTAAGTGCAAGAAAATTAAATTCAGAAACTACTCATTCACCTCATTTTGTTTATAACTAGCTGTGTTAGGAAAAACAGAAAATCACACAGCTGAAATCTGCAACAGCACATCTCACTGCTATTGCCAGGCTTAGCATCAAATCCAGCTCTTAGTGCCAATTTTCCCATCTTTCCCAGCTCTGCCCTTCACCTCTGTCCTCTTGCCCACCTCTTTGGATCTTTGCTGCCCTCCATACCCAGTTTTGGTCTCTGACCCTCTTTCAGTTCTAACTAAGCTGTCATAGCCACTTTTGGTTATAACTTTATCAATGAAAGAAAAAAGTCATGTCCTTAAAGGCAACTCTCTATAGAAAGATGCTCATGAACCCAACTACTGCTTTTTTTCTCACCTACAAGAAGGAGAAAGAGAATATCCACCAGAAGGTGCACACTAATGTCCAACACTGGCTATTCTTCTCTGGAAGAATTAATTTGGCCAAATTTTCATAATCATAGCAAACGTGTCACCTCCCTTACTGACACTGATTTTATACTGACTTTTCCCACATCACTCTCATCTACTTGCAAAGTTCACTCCTATTTTTCTCCTGATCCCAAATACTTCAAGCAGAACAAGACACATGTGAAGTTAACATGCACCTGCTGAGCCATCCTCGTTTCTTAAGACTTGAGGAAATGCAAAACTGACAGGCTCTTCCAAAATCCAAACACAGACTACAGCAAAGATAGATGTGAAAGCCATGTGGAGCACAGCAGACTGAGATGATCAATTTGGGCACAAGCATGCTAGTTGTGTCACCATTGACCTAGAAATGCAGTGCAAAAATGTCACATGGGAAGGCAGGCAGACTGCTGAGAGAGCCACAGTAGCCAAGGGAAGAAAAACAGGAGCTCTTCTCTTTTCACACCAGTGTTCATGCAGGTTAAAATCATGTGTTCACCAGCCCTTCCCTTTCCACTAGACTCCTTTTGTTTATAACCAAGAATAATGGTCCATCAATTAAAAAAACCATCCCTTTCCACTCCTTTTGTTTATAACCAAGAATAATCGTTCATCAATTTTTTTTAAAAAAATACCCAAAACACAACAAATAAAATACACCCAACAAAAACCTTAACACTCCCTATCCAAGTGCCATAGCTAGGCTGGCTTGCTTATGAATCCTATCACCCAAACATATCTCTTGGCCATGTAAAACAGCATCATCAGTGCTAGCTGTCACTCCTTTTGTTTATAACCAAGAATAATCGTTCATCAATTTTTTTTAAAAAAATACCCAAAACACAACAAATAAAATACACCCAACAAAAACCTTAACACTCCCTATCCAAGTGCCATAGCTAGGCTGGCTTGCTTATGAATCCTATCACCCAAACATATCTCTTGGCCATGTAAAACAGCATCATCAGTGCTAGCTGTCAGGAATGGAAAGGTGCAAAAAATACTGGATGCAAACGATGTTTCCTAAATTTGGGGGAAATTGCAAACCTAATTTTCCTGCTTGGCTCACAGAAGCATTAGCTGCAGCATACATTTGAATCCATCTTTTGTCAAGTGGCAGCAGAATAAAACAATCTGAGACAGATGCACATGACATTTTAGTTTCCGTAATGCTGATCACTTTCATATTCCTTAATAAACAGTAGTAGGAATAAAAGCTTGTGAGCCAAAAGAGAAATAAAGCGTAGGTGGGATGCATGGCTAATCCAAGGAAGCAGACATGCTTCTTGAATTTTTCTTTACTACTGTTAACAGAAATTTAGAATCAATTGCCCTCCTCCAATATTTTCTAATCTTCAAAAAAATCTGTCAAAACTTCAGGCAAAGCAATCTCCCTTCCAGGGCAGAGAACTGAACTGCTTCCCTGCAAAGCCCATCAGGTACATTTCTATATGCCAAAGGGTCAGTTGGAATAAGCATTTCACAACCATCCCCAAGGACTGGGTTCATGGCCTCTAAGTCACTTCAGTGAGACCAAAGAGATGCATTATCAGGTCAGCACTGTTTTTAATGTGAGGCTTATGCTTGTTTGTTTCCTACTATCTTGAATAAGGAAATAAAGCCAATATCAGGCTACAGACACCTGAGTGTTTACGTGAAACTTTAGGCAAAAACCTGTAGCAAACTACTTCTTAAGGTGAAGGAGTACTGAAGGTATGAGAAAATTGCTCAGCTCATCCAAGGAAGAAAAATTACCATTACTGGGTTAAGGCTAAATTCTTTTAGGGTCTCCAAGGGGTATCCAAAGTTTTTCTTTTTGATATCTCACAGTTATTTTTTTACGAATACTTGGGAGGAATATGTGGCTTTCAAGAAAAACTAAACTGTTAAGATTCAAGGACTGTGGATGTGAAAGTACTAACATTTGTGCCACACCATGGTCTCAAAGAAGGTCTTACTGTATTTGATATATTGAATACAACTTCATACAAACAAACCTTGAAACAGGACCATATAGTGATAAGGAACCTCTAAGCATGTCACAAAGGAGAAATTTGCAGAGAAACAAGCAGGAAGATTTTAGCCTGCTACCATAATATTTTGAACCAAAGTTGTAAAACCAAAAATACAATGAAACCTCAGAATGACTGAATCCTTTGTTTCCCAAAGCCCTTTAGAGTACAGAAACATTACATGTACAGCAACTCTCCCCAATCAATACAATAACATCTATTATAAAAAAAGTAAAATTTGCACTGAAATTGTGTTGAACATTAAATATCTAAATGTAACAAGTCATAGACATTCCCCTAATACATCCATGAGCCAACATAAAAATGCACAAAAATCGAAACGCAGCATTAAAAAATTTCAGCTGAGAACACAATCACTTCCTAATTGCAATAGCTTCCATTTGATCTTGATACTCTCTAAATTAACAGCTTCACTATGTCAATCAAACACCTCAACACCATTTTCATGATTAGTTGATCTGTGGGGGAAATTTATTCCTTCATATACTTGGACAGGCCAGCAGTAAACATGCAAGCAAAATTATGTACTGTGAACCCTGAACAACAAAATTTGACTCCCGTAAGATTTTTCACACACTATGTCCAAAACAATTAACAGCAGAACAATATTCTGTTCAGACAGAGGCTGCTGAGGAAAAGGTCATCTGAAATGACTTCAGCTGGATGAATGAAGCTGCTGGAGTATGTAATTTGTAATAAAAATTCGATTGGCGATAAAATATGTAGGTGACTTTTTTTGGCTTCAAATTCATACTTAGCATCAATTTATGCTAAACGATATTTGAGGTAAGTTTTTCACTTTTTTAATACAACATAAATGTATTGTAAATTTAAAGAGAAACTTCCTGACTAGAGCAAACTTATGGCAGTGCTTCGAGATAGATGGAGAGATTTAAAAAAGCCAGAAGATAAACAGGGATAAATTATTTTTCCCTTCTACATAACATTGGTTTCTGATCTGATCATAAAACCTGATTTCATTTTGTAATCAATGTTAAAATGGGCTTTGACAGCAAGAGTGTCATAAGTTTTCTCATCGTACTAGTAACAGCATCTCCTGCTTATCCTTTTAGATTTTACATACTATTGCATACTATTGCTTGGGACTTCTTCCCTTTGGAGGATTTCATCAGTTTTCAGCTGGTAAGTAAACAGCACGAGCTATGTGAAACCACAGAAACTGAACAGCCAAGAAAACCCTCCTCCCACCTAATGGGGGAAGCAATTTTCAGTCGAGTTAGGACAAGTTTCCAAAGTGATGTGCTGCAGCTACAAATCTAGCTGTATTCTCTCCAGTGAAGTTCATTCTCTTGCAGGCTTAGACATGCTGCCTTCTCAGCAGCTATGCAGTCACTGGAACTTGTCTGCATGTTACTTTGTGATTATGTATGCAGAAATGTGCTCCTCTTTCCTTTCCCAGAAGCAATCAGTAAAGCCCTGCATCTCCACTCTTAAAGGGTAACCTATATTTCCAAATTATATATGTGAAAACATGTACACAAAAACTTTTATAGGGTTCCTGTATGCCCATGCATATGCACATCCATAGACAAGCACATCCTTGTGTGTGTGTATATATATATAACACCACAGTAATGACATTCATATGATAAATGATGTAACTATATCACAAACACTACCTACTGCCCTCAATGACCCCACTGACTATTCAATCCACCTGCCCTAAATCCTGTTGTGTCCAGCCTTCTAACATTACAGCCCAGTTACCCTCTGTTAAATTATTATTCTGTTGAAACTGTCAACCTTTTGCCTTATAAATGTGTCTTCTCCCTTTAGAATTTATCCAGATGGAAAATCTGAAGCTCTTGAAAGATAAGTTTGAAGTACTATGGATGTAAGACCTAAACAGGTCTAGGAAGTGTAAACTAGAAAGTAAAACTACTAGAAATTGCAAAAAACATTTGATTCCAACAATGGGGAATTCCAACCTAATATCACAGCCTTTTTCAAGGTATTAAAATAAAGTCATTACAAGATTTTAATACAGCATCTGTTATTTTCCTCTTTCTCATAACGGACCCACAATACTAAGAAACCATAAGTCTTATACACTGGGACACTACTAAGATTTGTGTCAGTATTATTATAACAAAAGAGAAT